TTTATCTTCCAAGAAACTGTTATAATATGCTTATGTATATCAGTGGTGTTGTTTTGGTTTTGTTTAGATAATAATAATAATAATAATAAAAAAAAAAAAGGAAAGGAAAAGATAATTTGTTTTGCTGTGCTTCCCTTACCCTTTATTTCTGAAGTCCCATTTTTCTTTCTGACCATTTACTAATTTTTTATTCATGATTCAACTCATACAATTGTTGTTAACAACATCGACATTGGTTATCACATGTGATTTGTTTCTTTTTCTTGATAATGCTGACTTTACTTGTTTTCTTTATTGCTGGTATAGATATTAGGAAAGTTGCTAAGTGATCTACATTTTAAATTCCAGTCTTTTGATGTAAATTCCCATTCTTCTTTCTTTGTTTTAAGCTTTTGGAGAAACTTTGCAAGTATAAGCAGTAAATGTATGACCATTCTCACTACATATATTCTATTAAAATTTGAATAATTTTATGAAATTTGCGAGTTCTTTCTTTTCCAAAAATCCCCAAGGAGGGTAATTACATGTTTTCAACTGGGCATTCCCAGCAGTAGTAAACTCATCTATAACAAAAATCAATAAACTATTATTAACTGAATAAGAGCATTACCCTTAATTGCTTCATCTACCAATGCTTTTCTGCTCCTCCCCAACCACAAGGTGCAGACAGCAACGACAAAGGCAATTCTTAACCTCCTAACTCCATCCCTCCTATCCTTGGGTCTTCTCAGAACCCCTTTCCAATCTACAGTCCTTGAGGGATAGGTACTTTACTAGCTGCAACTTCTGTAGGACTCTTTCCTTGAGATTTGAAGATTGTCATTAAATAATACAAGCTAAGAAGCTCACATTAACAAAAGCTATGACTCCACTTTCATATACATTTTATCGGGTACTGTTTGATACCATAATAGCAAATCTTCCTCAATACCTACTCAAGAACAACACCATATGATTAAATTTCAAAACACATACCTTGTCTCATCCATAAGTTTTTCCTGAAATAGATTCGGTACCTACCTGGTAAATCCTAAACTCCACCTAGCGATCATGATAAATGAATTTGATGTAACATTGTTAACTCATATTCTTTGCGGTTACCTTAAGAGCATTGTCACTCGCCAAAGATCTACCCAGACCGTTCCCGACCTTTCTGAATCTTTGAATGCTATAAATTCTTGGGTATAACTCTAACTCATATGATTCATCTCTTTCATGATTTGAGTTTGATGCACCTTTCATGTTTGCTGTAATTGCCTAAGAGGTATGGGAAGAGAAGGTATCGAATGGCAATTTGTTTGAAATAATATGAATACATTCATGTAAATGATTAAATGGATCTGCTAATTAACATTGTATTTATTCTACCATCAACAGGTTCTAAAATTTAAGTTCCCTACGGACAAGATAATGAAGCACATGAATTGCACGCTCGCTGAAATCTTGTTCGGGTCATGGCTCACATGATGAGTATGTTATTCACAATTTTTCTTTAATGAAGTAAGATTTATTCTCTTTATACCCTGCTTCAAATAATTCTGTATTTTTGGAAGCAGAAAGAAGCGGGAGAAGAAATCAAAGCACAGGTCTATTAAGAGTTCAAACGAAGTTCATAATGGACCTGTTGCATAACTCTCACTTAGTTTCATTGACACCACCAGTTTATAACTCCGCTCCGAGATTTATCGAGGGCACTGCCATCGGGCAAAGTGAGAGGGGATAATAACTCGTAACTCAATGTTTTTTTCGCCATTTTTTGAGCTCTTGACGATTTTTTTTTTTATTAGTTGATAAAAGTAAATTAATCACAAAATTTTTAGCAAAAAAAAACACCCTCGGGTTGATTTCTAATAAATTTATTTTGACTTTTTAAATTTTAAAATATAAATTTTAGATAAAAATTTAATAATTTATATAAATAATAATTAAAATTTTTTTAGTTGAATAAAAAATATTTAACAAAAACTATATATAGTGATAAAAAATTTTAATTGTTATTCATATATATTGTTAAATTTTTATTTAAAACTCATATTTTAAAAGTTAAAAAAAAAACTAAATTTACTAAAAATAAATAAAGGAAGTACCCAATTTAAAATGAGTTATTTTTTTGGTAATTTAGATTATAATTCCTCCAATCCGATTTAATTATCTTACTTTTTTAAATAAAGGTAGTTTGATTTAATTATTAGTTATTACTATTTTAATTTTGTCCTTGTCTAAAAAGATATGGAAATGGGTTATATTTTTTTATTAAATTATAAGTAAAGATAAAAATAAAAAGATAAATC